CTGTACCTCTGAAACAAATAATATATTATATGTTTTAAAAAAAAAGGAGAAGATAGTAGGAAGAGAAAAATGAAGGAGGGGACTCGGAGGGGGAGACGAACCATGAGAGACTATGGACTCTGAGAAACAGAGGGTTCTAGAGGGGAGGAGGGTGGGGAGATGGGTTAGCCTGCTGATGGGTATTAAAGAGGGCACGTACTGAATGGAGCACTGGGTGTTATATGCAAACAATGAATCATGGAACACTACATCAAAAACTAATGATGTACGGTGATTAACATAACGTAATAAAATAAAATTTAAAAAAATAAAATAAAAATAAATTAAAAAAAGAACTGATCTCACTGTAGATGGCAGAGAGAAATGGCACTGATCTAAGCAGGTTTCTAAATGAGTGGACTAAGAGTAAAGACTAAAGAAACAACTCAAACACTGTCCTCTAGTTGATTAAGTTGTTTCCTATATGGTATCTATTAATAATTCTAAAACCATTCTATATGTGTAATGAGTTTGAACAAGTAAGTAAATGGATGACAGCAGAGACCATGTTTCTTAATGTTGAAGTTAGAAGTTGCAGATAATCAAGAGAAGAAAGCTACAGTGATTCACGACCACATGAATCAGGGTAACTCATGTTTATCTTAATACATATATTGATAGTCCATATAAATATATAGAATATTTGTATATATGGACATACATGGGTTAGTATACACTCATATAGTTCTTTGATCTGTCAGCTTCCAAGACCTAGAAACAACAAGCATAATAATAGCAATGAGTACACCGAGTTAAAAGATTTCAGTTTTGGGGCGCCTAGGTGGCTCAGTTACTAAGCATCTGCCTTCGGCTCAGGTCATGATCCCAGAGTCCTGGGATCGAGCCCCGCATCGGGCTCCCTGCTCAGCGGGAAGTGTGCTTCTCCCTCTCCCACTCCCCCTGCTTGTGATCCCTCTCTTGCTGTCTCTGTCTCTCTGTCAAATAAATAAATAAAATCTTTAAAAAAAAAAAATATTTCAGTTTCTAACACCATTCTCCAGTAAAAGGAATTAGGACTCCTGGTTAAATGGTTGGTTCTCAGAAAGGAGCAGAAAAAATACAAGGTGAGCTTGGAGCACCCTGCATTCCCAGAAAGTAAAGAAGTGCTAAATGAACACACACACAAACACATATACACACACAAATGAAGTATATTAAAGAGACACAGGAGCTAACTGAAAAAATCCCAAGTGGTCAAAGCTGGAAAAAATTGAGCAAAAGAAATAATGTACTGTTGTGTTAAAATCCAAAGTATAATATAAATGTCCATGAGTCCATGTTTGCACAAATAAATGACTGAGTAAATATATAAAGGGGGAAAAGACAAATATTTCATGCAGAACAATCCCACGTGATCTAAGAAAATAGTCTGCTCTCAAGGAGTTGGCACAGAACTCCCCACTCCTAAAGTGTGACCTGTGCATCTTGACTTCTTTCCAAAGAGTAGAGTATGGAAAGGGAAAAATAAGTAACTTTACAATGGAGAAATCTGACAAGCACCACTTTAGCCTGGTGACCAAGATTAACATCAACAGTTAATAAGTCATGTTGCTAGTATGTAGCCTAGATGTGATGTAATGACAACAGTAGTTTTCCTACATGATCTTCTTTTTAGAAACCTATAAACCCAGTTTGACCATAAGGAAAACATCAACTAAGAGACAAAATACCTGCCCAAGTTTCCACAAAGCAAGGAAAGTCTGAGAAAAATGTCATAGTCAAGAAGCTCTGAACAAGACAAGACAACGAAACGTAAAATCACATCCTGGATAGGATGCTGGTGCAGAATAAGGACATTAGGTAAAAACTAAGGATATCTGAATAAAGTACAGCCTTTACTTAATAATAATGTCTCAAAATCAGTTCATTTATTATAACAAATCTACCATACTAATGTACATTACATACTAATGTAATAGGGGAAGTAATAATAGGAGAAACTGGGTGCTGATATATGCACATACATATAATTAAAGAAGGCAAAAAATGTCATAAAATTAATATAATTATATGTCACTTCAGAGAAGAATGAGAATGTTTGGCTGCTAGTGAAAGATTTTCCTTATATTTAAAAGTACAGCATTTATCAATCACATATATATTTTTGTTTTCAATGAAATATTATCATTGGTATTTTGAATAATATGTTAAAATATTTCCATGACAGTGTGAGATACAATCTTTCATTGCTTCTAAGTGTATGAATGGTCACTGCAGGCCGCATTCATATCAAGGAACAGATCATTACCAACATTCCAGAAGCCCTTTTTTTATGCTTTGAAGGAAGAGGTCAGGAGTCATAGCAGTTTCCTTGAAGAAGATGAGATTTGAACTGGATCTTGAAGGAAAGCTGGATTTCAGCAGCTATATATGAGACCGAGTAGCACGGACATTATAGACAGAGATGATTAAATGAACAATATAACCCATATGCATACCATCTGCTAAACTCTTTAATACACAAAGAATACGCATGATTTCAAACTCAAAGTTATTTTTTGGGTAATTTCTAGAGAGCTCTAATGATTTTATTGTATTTTGTTTGCTAGACAGGCAAATTATAAAGGGTTTTAAGTTGGAAAATGATCTCCTCTAGGATAATAAACCATAAAAATTGCAGAGTGAATTATCAAGAAATGAGATGCAGAAAAACCTAATGGAAGTTCTTAAAGTTCAGTCTCCAGTGCTTTCTTATAAGGCAACTAGTACCAATAACCCTGTAAATCTTATATATCAGATTCTACCAAGTGTTATATCCCTTTGGGAGAACTTGATCTATCTTCTTATCTTCCTTAAACAAATACATGCAACTATTGAGAATGTGTCTGCAGATGCCCCTTCCATACCCCTGATTCATTCAGCTCTGAATAGAAGTGGACCATAACCTTCTTTTATAACTCCAAGAGGAATTTCCTAGTAGATGGTGTATATAATCCACATAATATTATAAACATAAATCTTAGTGACCACATGATATTCTTTAAAATTCTCCCATAGTACAATAAGGGCTATTATAAAAATTTCACTTGAAAGAAATAAACAAACCAAATGAGAGTAGCCAGGAGAAGCAAATACATATCTATGCAGTTTCTTTTATGTGTTTTACATTATTCTTCCTTGGAGAATTTTAAGAACGAATCAGTCCTCAGGTAATTGATGATTCAATGCAAAAGAGATCCATTCATAGAAAATAACTATGCAACATGTGTCATTTCCAAATGCTTTAGTTGATTATGTTGAAGCGTAGAGGGGTAAAATATATGTCTGAGAGTCATCTGAGGAATGCTATAGGATGGAGGGAAAGGAGCAGGGTCCCAAATTAGTGGAGAGGAACATGGAAAACATTTTAGATTTGAGGAGAATATGGAAGAAAAAGCAGGAGAATCTTTGCATACAAGAAAGTTATTATCCAATGTACACCAAAAAAATACAATAAAATTATTCGTCAGGACAAAATATGATATGATGCTGATTTTGTAGAATGGTATCTGAACATCTCTCTAGGAACAACAGAAACCCAGTCCAAGGCTGTTTCTGGGGAGAAGTTGTGGTTGGTTTGCAGTCATGTTGGTTTTACTTTTAAAACAACAGCTGTAGCCTCTCTCGCGAGATCTTCGCTGTATTGGAGCAGGCTGTGGTCCGCACTAAGGTGGCAATAGGGGTTGTTCTGTTGCTGTTTCCCCACAAACCTGGGTCTGTTCCAGACTAGCTAAGGCATACAGAAAAATGGAGTATATGACAGAATCCACCGACCGCACCCCTGGACACATCTTGTGCTGTGAGTGTGGTGTCCCAATTAGTCCAAATCCTGCCAATATTTGTGTGGCCTGTTTGCGAAGTAAAGTAGACATCAGCCAAGGCATTCTGAAACAGGTCTCTGTATCTTTCTGCAAGCAATGTCAAAGATATTTCCAGCCACCTGGAACTTGGATACAGTGTGCATTAGAATCCAGGGAGCTTCTTGCTTTGTGTTTGGAAAAAATCAAAGTCCCTCTGAGTAAGGTACGGCTTGTAGATGCAGGTTTTGTTTGGACTGAGCCCCATTCTAAGAGACTTAAAGTTAAACTGACTATTCAGAAAGAGGTGGTGAATGGTGCTATCCTTCAGCAAGTGTTTGTGGTGGATTATGTTGTTCAGCCTCAGATGTGTGGAGATTGCCACAGAGTAGAAGCTAAGGATTTCTGGAAGGCTGTGGTTCAAGTGAGGCAAAAGACTTTGCACAAAAAAACTTTCTACTATCTGGAACAGTTGATTTTAAAATATGGAATGCATCAGAATACACTTCGTATCAAAGAGATTCCTAATGGTCTGGATTTCTATTATTCCTCAAAACAGCATGCTCAGAAAATGGTAGAATTTCTTCAGTGTACAGTTCCCTGTTAGACACAAAGCCTCACAGAGATTGATCTCTCAGGATATCCATAGTAACACATACAATTACAAAAGCACTTTTTCTGTGGAAATTGTTCCCATATGCAAGGATAATGTTGTTCGTCTGTCTCCAAAACTGGCACAAAGCCTAGGAAATATGAACCAGATTTGTGTGTGTATTTGAGTGACCAGTGCCATTCATCTCATAGATCCAAATACCCTACAAGTTGTGGATATTGATGGAAGCACTTTCTGGAGTCACCCTTTCAATAGTTTATGCCATCCCAAACAGCTAAAGGAGTTTATTGTGATGGAATGCAGCATAGTCTGAGATCCAAAATGCAATGCAGGTGCTGGAATGATATCAAAAAGCATACCCTCGGGGAAGTCTGGGTACAGAAAACTTCTGAAATGAATACAGATAAACAGTATTTTTGTCGTACTCATTTGGGACATCTTCTAAATCCTGGAGACATGGTGTTGGGGTTTGATTTGGCCAACTGTAACTTAAATGATGAGTATGTCAACAAAATGAACTCCGATAGAGTCCCAGATGTGGTATTAATCAAGAAGAATTATGACCGTACCAAATGTCAGCTTGTAGAAACTGGAAACTGAAAGAGCTTGCAAGAGATAGAGAAAACATGGATACAGATGATGAAAGGCAATACCAAGATTTCCTTGAAGATCTTGAAGAAGATGAGGCAATTAGAAAAAATGTAAACATTTATAGGGATTCAACCATTCCTGTGGAAAGTGACATAGATGATGAAGGAGCCCCTCAAATTAGTCTGGCTGAGATGCTTGAAGACCTCCACATTTCCCAAGATGCTACTGGTGAAGAAGCTGAATCGATGATGACACAGTGAGATTGTGTTGTAGATGATTTCCATGTCTGTAGACTCAGGATGTTGGATGAAATAACTTTCATTGTCTATTCCACCTATGCTTCCATATTGAAAAAGGAGAAATTTAGTTTTAAACTTCAATAAATAGGACTATTTTGATTGCTCATTCAGAGCACTGAACGAGATTGATAGCTTTGAAGTTTTTGGGTAAAAGATCATGGAGAATGTAATTATTAATGATATTTAGGCCATTTTATGTGTGGAATTTTTTAAGTTTGCCTTTTTAGGATACCCTAGTATTTTCGCATACTGTAGTGCCAGATTTGAAATCTCAAAAGTTGTGATGCCTGGGAGGTTACCTAAATCTTCAAGTATAAAACAAGCTTTTACATTCTTTTTGCATTGATGGCTTTAGTAAAAGAGCACATGAAGAATCATTTTTATATGAACTTGTTAATGCACTTTGATCCACTTTAGATCATTTTTATGTCGTTGGGATAGGTAAGTCAGGGTTCAGTTTGTTACTGGACATTCAGGGGGAAGTTAATCTATTTTATTCATAATATTAACATCTTCAAAAGCTTAAATTGGGGTTATCTTAATTTTTATTGCAGAAGAAAATATATTTAAAGTATTTGGATTTGTAGCAAACATAGATTATTTAAGGGTTAAATAACAGTTTGTACTTTTGTTATTTTTGCTCATGCCAGCAGCTTAGACCAGTAGCTTGCTTGTGTCATAAAAATGTCTTCCTATCACTTCAAGCATTTCTGCTTTTGAAATTTTGGTTTACAAATTGAGAAGGAATTTTCTTTATATAAGCTTCTGTCATTGAATATATCACCATCAAAAAGAATATTAAGATCCAGCACATAGGTGATGAAATAATAAAACTGATCTTTATGCTTTATAAAACCATGAGTCAGACTTGAAAAAGGAATGCCTTCCACATCCTTGAATTAAAAGCATTGGCTTGAGTTTTTTAAAGTGTTTTGAGAATGAAATTTTAAGATCCTATTTCTATAAGCAAGATTAGACTTAATAAGTATGCCAGAACTAAAAGCTAATTCATAAACTCTAGGTATACCACCACATAAGGAAATTGAGTAAGTGATGAATGGAGCATTTCCTTTTTTTAAGATTAGACTCCCCAATTCTGAAGTTATGGATAAAGGTTTGAACTTTATATAGTTGTTGCCGTTCTGTCTGCATATTTAGTTAAAATTTTCATTTGTGGTTTGTGTTTACCTCTTCTATGTCAAGACTTGAAAAAGCATGAAAATAAAAACATTCTCCTCTTTAAAAATAAATAAATAAATAAATAAATAAATAAATAAATAAATAAAACAGCTGTAGGTATGGCCAAAAGGAAGAAGAGCTATAGATTCCTTTAATAGTGAACACATTGTCGAAGAACACATTAGGTGTTATTTGTTGTATAATATTTTTTTTCATTTAGATGTTAAATAACATGTAAGAGAGAAACAGGTGTTGCTTGTTCTCATACCAAAACTTCTATTTAGTGCTTGTGGCCACTGAAATTTTGGAATCACAAAAATGAAACAGACCCTGTTATGTCTTAAAGACTTGAGGAATTTTACTGATATTAATAAGCCTAAGGCCTCAGGAGCCTGGGTGGCTCAGTTGGTTAAGCGACTGCCTTCGGCTCAGGTCATGATCCTGGAGTCCTGGGATCGAGTCCCGCATCGGGCTCCCTGCTC